CAAATCAAATTTTCCACTAATTGTGTGTTCGAATTATTCTCTTATTAAATTGATCATAAATATAAAGATGAAATAAATAAAATTATAGGATGAAGTTTCACACATATTATCAAAATTTTAAAAAAATATGGATAAAACTACAGAAAACTAGTAGAAATTATATTATTATAGAAATAATGTTACTTAATTAGCCTTTAAACGACCATCGTTTGTATGTTTGAATATATTTTTCAATATATAACACCTATCAATTATCTTTCAACATTGAATCATTTTAATATCATACGATCTTTTGCTCAAAAAATTTGCACAATAAAAAAATTTTTTATTACGAAACCAAATTATATTATATTTTTAAAAATATATATATATTTTAAATAAAAAAAATCGATTATAATTCAAAAAACATTTTTCGAAATATAATTGATTATTATTTAATTTTATATAATTATTAAATTTGAATATTTTAACATTAATACTAATTGTGGCAAAAATTTAGCGATTAAAATATATAGAATTTAAAAAAATTTGAAATTTGAAATTTTGAATCTAAAAAATTTACTTCCTAGAATTTAACCTAACCTTCTTCGATTTGTGCGTTATTTGTACGAAGCAAAACGCAATGTAAATTCAAATCCAGGAGACCGGACTCGAAGAAACAAACAGTCACTGTTCGTGATAACGGTACGGTTTCTAAATACTGACCATGAAGACGAAATTACGTAAAATTATATTCCAAGTATCGAAACCGAGGTCGACGATGCCCTCATAGGTCTAAATTAATTGGTATCATATTATTCGAGAAAACGGTACTTGCCATTTATACAGATTACACATAACGTAAAATGTCTTTCCTCTGGGAATGATTACTAATTCATTATGCGTTATGCAACAAATGATTGCGTGTACTAATGATGCGTTGTGTAAGTTTACGCATAATAAATATATACACAGGATACATAACGGTGCATTTTACGCCATGTTATTTTTACCTTGTGCTTAGAAACATATACGTTGCCAGATCTCTGTTTTCCGCTTATAACTTATTCGACGTTATTCTTTAAAACTGATCAAATTAAATGGAAAATAAATGGAAAAAATTTAGTCATACAACGATAATTTCGATTATCTTTCCGTTTTCAAAATATGATAAACATATATAAACAAAATATAATAAACCAAGTTGATGAAACAAAGAAATTACATCATCGATGTACGTATGGGACAACAACGTGCTTCGTTTCACGAGAAGAAAAGAAAAGAAAAGAATATTGGATAGTGATCGAAAATTAAAGGTGTTTTCGCGAAAGGAAATGCGGTCAGGGCGTGAGTCAAGCAAGGCAAGGAAAGAAAGCCAAGGCAACGCTATTTTTCCCGTAGAGACGGACGGATGGATGATCGGACGACGTACGAATGAACGAGGTAGCGGAGAAACAGACAGACAAGCAAGTAAGCATACAGTCGAGCAAGCGGACGAACAGAGTCGGCCGATCGAGGCAGCAGCCGGCCGGCTTCATAGCAATGAGTTGGCAACGTTGCGTCGTACACCGGAGGATCTATATCCCAAGCTGGCGCGGTGCGGTGCGGCATGGCATGGCACGGTTCGGAGCGATTCGGTTCGATTCGACTTGGCTCTCGGCTATACTCGGCACCAACCACGTGACTTTACTATACGCTAACTTACTGTTCGATGGATATCGCGCGGGCCGATTTTACCTACTGCCTCTCTCTCTCTCTCTCTCTCTCTCTCTCTCTCTCTCTCTCTCTCTCTCTCTCTCTACATTTTTTTTAGAACTTTTTAATTCTATACTATCATCACTTTATATTTAGAAATTTAATGTTATCGATCGTTATTTTGATCATTTCGGATGCATTTAGCGAGAAAAATTCATTATTTCCGCGTTCATCGAAGAGCGATGTCGTCGAATAGAATGATCATCATAAAACAGGTCATGAAGAATGACGCGAAACTTTCATTTTATTCTAACTCCGCGATTTTAGTTTAATCTCTTAATTAATTTGTACACTTTTATTTCTAATAGACGCAATTGTTTTGCCAATGAACAACGTGAATTTAATTGTTTGAACTATTTCACGTAGAGTGTAATGCCTTGTGATCGATTCGCGATGAATCAGTTATATAGTTTTGATGAGGCTTGCAACGCCCACGTCAAAGCAAGCCAAGTTTCTATTTCGCTACATGTGTCTCGCACGCGACTTTTTCTCTCTTTTCTACGATTAAACTAGGTCTTGCCGCGCTTTATCTTATATTTCGCGTATCTCTACAATTTCTTTAACAATGACTGGTGGATGTCTTGTTTTTCGATACACTATTGTATCTTATTTAATACAAGAGAATTGATATATAGAAGAAGACACGCAAATGAGATTATCTTCCATATCATTTATCTTCTGTTCGGCAAGTTTGAAAACGAGTCAAGGAATTCGTTCTGGAGGCTGTTATTTTCGAATGTACCTTGACGTAGCATAGAGAAGAGTTTCTAAAATCTTATTTACGAGCTAATAAAACATATTGTCGAGAGTTAACATACGAGTTAGCGAGATATAAAAAGTTATCGCAATTTTACGAAGAAAAAGAAGGAAAAGTTGTATTCATCGATGCTATCCGAGTCTAAAACCAAGATTACAAATCTTTTTCTCCGAACAGAACGAAATAGCCTCGACGCGTTCAGTGTTACGTGAGAATACATTCAAGTTTCGTTTCATCTGTTTTGAATTAAATCCATCGTTATGCAAGTACCCGATACTATGAATTGTCAATACAAAGCAAGGGAATGTATGTATCATTACGCAACTTCTTATCGAATAAGTTGTCTAATAGTGTTTAAAAATGTTACTATCATTTTCACGCCATGTGATAGCAATACCCTTTTCCTCTATTTTTCTCTATTTATATGTAGATATATATATATACTATATATATATATATATATATATATATACTCGTTGACAAGACCATCGATTTTGTAGCGATTACTCGCCACTTATGATTTATTTCCCCTATCTCTAAGCAACGGGAAAATCGTTTCTCGTGTCATTAAAATCGTGTTAGCAATCGTGTGAATATATCGACAAGTTTACGTGATTTGACGTTATACATTTGTCAAATATATTTATTAAAAATAATTCTGACATGCATATATATATATATATATATATATATAATCGTTAATGATTTAATATTTATCGCGTGCACAGAAATTGTACAGAAAATTTTCTCATGAAAAATGAGCAAAAAAGAAAGAAACATGTATATCATTCGTTGTTAAGTTTAAAAGTTAAAAAATTTAAAAGTTCTTTCCTTTTGAAAACTTGAACTGTGCCGACACCTGCTGCTCTTTTTTTCATTTTTTTTTTTTTCTTTTTTTCCTTGTGCTCATCTCCTTCTCTCTAAAGGAAACCTTTTGCATTCAACTTCTTCCAGTTTCTACTGAACCTATCTCGAGGCCTGTCTACCTGAGATACCTATTTCTTGTTCTTCTTCTTCGTATTCTGAAAGACTCCTCCCGTTATACACGTTGCCTAAAACTATCTCGTTGCTTGTCTATTGTTTCTCGTGGCTCTATCAACGTTAACACTTTCGCTAGAGGCTTGTCTGGCTAGTCGTTTCTATAATAATAGGTTTTATATCGTAAGATATTCTATGTATTATTTTATTTCTCGATAATTTAGCATTTTCTTTCTTTGTCGATTAAGAGTAAGGCTAGATCGATTTTATTATACATTAAATTTATTTAATTTTCTATTTGTTTATAAGAGACAAAATTTTTAATTTACTTCGTTATACAAAATAATGTGAAAATTGAATATCGAATATCTATATTTTCGAATAGAAATAACGAAGTAAAGATATTTCATAAACTTTCATTATAAATATTATTATTATTAATTCATTCATTCATTAAGATATGTGTGCATGCGTGTGTATTAATTCGTTAATTTCTAATATCTGAAATCTATCATATCATATCATTCTTCAATATTATTTCCAATTATCCTGTATTATACGATAAGATGTTAAATATGACATAAATATAACAAAAAATAACTTTAAATAGTTGTTCGATATATAAATGTTCAACTTCAATGCTCGGGATGTTCGATCTCTTTTAAACTGTTCGTTAATTTAAATTGATACGCATTTAAAAACGCATAAAATATTTTTATTTTGTTTCTACTGAGATCATCTGTGATCTCTTGTCAGGAATCATTTCTATTTTATTTTTTTTTTTTTTTTTACTAATCAAATTCTGACTAATATATCATCATATATATAACACAAATATAATATACAAAATTGTAAATATTCTTCAATACTTTTTGATAAATGATTCATATTAGTTAACATCGATTACTATACGCCGTCTAACATAGAATTCAAATAATATATGAGAAAAAAATATATATAAAATCATAGCAAAATGTTTAATACTTTAATGCATTATGAAGATTGAAGTAAATGAATATATACAACAAGTTAAACGTTAACAAGTTAAAAGTTCTAAACTTTTAATGTAATATATATGGATTCACTCATCTTTAATTTTATATAATAATATAATAATATTTTGCATAGAAAAATTATACAATTACAAAGTACACATGAAACTATTATATCAAGTTTTAAGCTAAATGAAAAATGATAATAAGGAGACTAGAGGAAATGTATATAAAACTTTCGTCCATTTAATTTCTCACTTAAGAAGTTAATTATGCTAAACAAGTAACAGATTCATTTGCTTTACATCTTAACTCCGACCAATACATGCAACATGTGTGAATTTTCTTATACATGTGCGAAACACATTACGGTATCAAAGCAACGAAATCGGTGATCTCTGAAATGCTTAAGTAAATAAACGATGTATGTACAAATTGGACGTTGAACGGGAACAAGTTTCCCGTTTGTTATAAGCGATCTAAGATTAAAATAAAAGAGAAAAAAGAAGAAAATAAAGTGAAAGGGGAAAAAATCTTACCCTGCATTTTCAGCGGCAGCAATGGACATGTGCCTCCTCTCATCGAGGATGGCTGTTGTGTCAAACTGCCGGGAGAAATCCGTGGTAATGAGTTAAGAGTCACAGTCGAGTGTTCTCTTTCTACGCGATATGCCACTATCACCACTAACCTGTTTTCACCAATACCTTCACAACCAATAATATGGATATCAAATAATAAAGATATCACCACTGCGAATCAATAAACGTCATCCACTATTATCACCAACACTTTTCCAATGTGACAAATTTTTAAAATCTTTTCTTTTTTCCGTTCAACGCGAAAACTTTGCTTCTTTTTTTCTTTTTTTTTTTTTTTCTTTTTACGTCAAATTTCAAACCACGAAAAAATCAAGTACATAACGGGAGTTTACAAAATGACGAATGAAAAAAATAATAATTCATTTCACTCTCAATTATTTCTCGTTTCGTCACCCGTTTGTATCGATGTGAAATAAGAAAAAATCAATCAAAACGAATAGGTTTTTTTTTCTCGACCAACACTCACTGATCGAACACGCGTTCTTAATTGCATCGTTCAATCATATGCTTCTTCTTTATTTACCGACATTCGGGATGTTCTTTACAATAGACACTGTTCACGTCACTAACATAAAATCACTCGCGAAAAAAATCAAGATTAAGTACACATTTTTCTTCTTTGATCTTCTTTCTACACTTTATCGACCGAGCACCGTCACTGTCGTCGTTTCCTTTTCGCCCTCGAACATCAGACTCACTTTTCGACACGCCACTTTCTCACTTATTCACGTACATATAGACAAATTCGTTAACCGTATGCGTAATCTACTGGCGAAAAATAGAAATCTTAGACATTTTATTTTTTTTAGCTTGTCGTTGCTACTATTCAGGAACGATCGGTTTTCTGTTTATCCTCCAAATCTGGAATCGCTTATAAATATTCAATGACAGGCAATTCTCACCAAGATACTAAGCAGAGAACATCTCAATTGCCAATTATCTGACGATTATTATATCTTTTCGGGAATCGTCTTGCTGGAATTTTGAGCTTTCCACAATTCTTTTCATCCTTCTCGAAATTTGTTATAGTTCTTCATAATTTTGTCGATCCTGTTAAAGAAGAAAAATAATCGTTAAATAAAAGATCGAATGAACAACTGATTTGTTAGAAATGATAAACATAAGAATAAGTGAAAATTGTTATTGAAATATAGGAAAAGAAAATGACGAGACTTTTGATGCGATATTTTACCCAAGATTCTTTGCATCGAGTAAGTAGTACAAGCAAAGCGGAAAGTGAAACCGATGCAATAAAACATAAATATAATACTTGTGAAACTTTAACGCTGTAACACTTTAATAAACTACTTATTCGTCATTATTATACAATAATTTTTTTTCATATAATTATAAATTCTCAAAATATTATAATTATATAAAAAAAATAATAAAAATTTTTCAATTATCATTTAACATATGTGGATAGGTACAAAATTCTAATATTAATTTTTTTTTATCTACAATTATTCTTATTATCGATTTATTATTATATCAATTAATAAATCAAATAATAAACACATTTAGTCTATATAAATTTTAATTAGATTATTTTTTTGAGACGAAGAATGTTTATTACTGTATCATACTCTCACGCATCACATGGCGTCGTACTTGACGACGCACTACTAATACAATGGTCTGCATATGCGCATGTCCACACCCCATTCTGCTTCCGAACATATGTAGACCGAGGCACGTTTAGGAAAAGTTGATCGATATTGTCGTCGACGCTTACGTTCTCTATTTCATATTCCATTACTTTCCCATCAAATTTCAAAATTCATTAGCCAATTCTTTGATATCAAAGATAAACACGAGAAAATTTTGGTTTATTTTTGCTTAAACTAAAATTATCCATTTAATCAATCTAATCAATTTAAATATTTTCTTGTTATTCAAATAGAAAAAAATGCTAATATAGACTGAGATTAAATCTCTTTGACTATAAATTAATATCTTTTAAAATCGTTATTTTTTCAACATTTTTTGTTTATCAATTTAATATTAATGACATACAAAAATTTTATATAATTTATATTAATCGCAAATTAAAGAAATTTACCATTTGAAATTTATAATAATATTCGTCATTGCATCAATTGTATTAACTCTTTAATAGCGATTAATTACTGCTAATAATATTTTGAAAATCAAATTTATAAAAAAAAAATAATTAGATAATGATAAAAAGTACAAAATGAAAGATAAATTTGAAAATTGAAGAATTGGAAAAACAAATACCTGTCGTAATTTATAATTACATTTATCAATATTAATTCTCAATATCACGAAGAGATGTTTCATCTCGTTTCGAATAAAAAGTTTTTCGTGGAATACAACCGAAAGCGCGAGGAAATAAGTAAATACCTATGTGCGCGCCAGGCACGGCGCGTACAGCGAAGCGCGACGAACTTGACTCTCAAAGCAGTGGACCGTCCGACAAGTTAATAAAAACGGAACGTAGAGATCCCACTTTCTTATTATCGCACAAACAAGGTACAACACCCGCAATCATGTACACACTTCTATACTCACATGTGATAATAATTCACATAAGAAAAAAAAAAGAAAAAAAAAAAAAAAAAAAAGAAAAAGAAAAAAAATATCCCAATGATAACGCACAAAAATTATATTACACTCACTGACCGGTTCGACTGGAATAAAACTTGTTTGTTCATCCAAGTTCGTTCTACTTCAAACTTCTTCGTTTGCTTCTTCACTCATTTCATTTCATTTTATCGATCAGATAAGATGAAGCGCGTACAGATTAATTTTTTCTTTTGTTTTCCGTTTATCGTTTTTGAAGAAATTTTTACTCTTAGATTTGCCGAACGTTTTCTTCACTTTGAAAGTTCACGCTGGTTGCGAGCGCAGTTTTCCGTAGAAAAACACAACGGGGCGCCACGAGATGTAGATACTTCTTTCTCACTTCTTCTTCTTCTTCTTTTTCTTTTTCTTCTTCTTTCTTCTTTATTCTATTTTATAGCCTTGTCTCACACGTGTCGAAAACGTGAAATCCTTTACCGAGATACAAAAACATATCGTTCGAGAAAAATCGATGGTCGAACATTGCAAATGAAAAAATGTCGATACTTTTACCATTTCAACTTTTTCTTCGCAATATTTACGCATAATGTTTTATAAAGGTAAGACTTGTAGAGCCTATATAGAATATGCAAATATGATTTGTCCTCCGTATATATGTTTTATGCCTCACCCCTTTTTCTCTATTACCGTTCTCTTGCTACGCAACATATATATATATATATATATATATACATATATATACATATATACATACATATATATGTATACGCACATATATTTCTCTTTCTTTCTTATCTCTCTGTTTCCGTTTCTTCTCCTCTGTCTTTCACGATCTCGCTATTTCCTTTTCCTTCGTTCTGTATCAGTTTAGCCGTATGCACAGCTCTATACGTATTGTATGTAGTATAGCGAGCGCGGCTACGTACACCATCCGTGTATACGAATACGAATGGCAGGCGCGCGCGCGCCTGTATTTGCGTTCGTGTGTGCACTTGATTAGCCTCGTGACGTCAGGGCACGATTACATCGCTCGCGATTGTCACTCAAATCGACAAATAAAATTGCACAAGAATCCAGGCGGGAAAGGTGGTCGAAGACACGCGGACGAACCTCGGACCGCGAAACGACGGACGATCCGTCGCGCAACGGTTAAAGGCGGCAGCGAGCCTTCCCGCAAACCACCCGCGGTATTCGTGAAACGACTGACTCCATGCAACGATTGCAGTCATAGAGAAGACGGGAGGTGTTCCGTTAGATGGCACCACTGTTTATCGCAAGGGGGCTCCGGCGGCCGTATTGCGCTCCGTGTACCGCAACTCATCGAATACTGTCGAATTCTAACGATCACTCCCGATTCATTCCGAATACTTACGATTACGCACGAACGATTCAATATCAAGTGCACGACCCTCTCCGTTCTGATGAGCACATGGAATGATACGAATGATGATGCGTGCCATCAATTTTATTTGTACCCATATTCCTTTATCACTCCATAGAATGTTTATATTTCTCATTTCCCCATGCAATTCACCATTCGAAATTTTTATATATTAATCGTACAAAAAATAAAGAAATTATCTTGTATTATATGATACATGAAAAAAACATTTACTAATAATAATATAATACATTTTATTAATAATATAATACATATGCGCATATATGTGTATATAACTGCATACGTATATCATTACTCAAAAATATTCAGAAATTTGTTTATTTTTAATAGGAACCAATTTAATTATAATTAATTAAAATAAAAAATAAACACTGACGATTTTCATTTTTTTCTTATTTATAATGACAATATATCGTAATATATTATAATACGATAAAATTATTTATAAAAAATTAATATCCATTAAACATTATAATAGTTTTATTTTTTTTATTTATAAATAATTTTTTTAAATTCTATCAATAATCTATCATATTAATTCCAGTAATATCGTTTAATATCCATAAATATATCAGTAGATTAATTTTATATTTGACTTGAAAATAATATCATTATATCATTATCATAAATATAAATTTTTTAATATATAAATCATTTGAAATTATAATTTTTTTCTTGATTTTATAAATAGATAATAAGTAGATATTTTTAATTATATATTTAAATATATTTAAATATATATTTATTATAATTCAAATTTTATTATTAAATTCATTAATATAATTGATAATATAATATATAATAATAGTATATATATGAAATACAAAATAAAATCTTACAAAATCTTTATTTTTATTTTTATTAATTTCATTAAAAATTTACAATCTATTAATAAAATATTTTTTTTTATTTTTAAATATTAATAAAATATATCTTTGATATTCAAAATATTCAAATACTAATATAAGCGAAAGTGTTATTAGTTTATTAGCATTAAAAATATATTTATATTTTAGTTATGATTTAATTATTAATAAATTAGAAAAAAAAAATTATATAAAATATAATATTCAATATTTTTTAAAGTCATATTTTATAGATTTATTAAAATGTTCGAGTAGATTTCATTTTATATCTATTTATCAAAAATTATTTTATTTTGACAAATATTCTTAAAATAATTCAATAAATAATACAATAAATAATTTCATAATTATATTACATTTTTCTTACATATTTGTTTTACTGAATACATATATCATAATTGATATTATTTTTTAATATATAAAAATTGAGACTTCAAATTATTTTTATTTATCATTTATTTATTTTTTTCTTTATTTATATATGTCAATAAAAATGGTAAAATGTCAGGAAATTTTTCATTTACCAATTGTTCTATACTCTGCATATTGTTATTCAACAATGATAGATTAGTGCATGGTATTAATAATTTACAAACTGATGTTGAGCGTGCTATAAGTGCTTTATGTAAAGGGGTATAATCATCAGCATCTTTTAAATTAGGATTTGCATCATATTTTAACAAAAGTTCGACAATGTTACAGTGACCTTGCATAGCTGCTCTATGTAAAGCAGTGGCACGACCACAGCGTGTTTGTGCATTCACGGCTGCATCATTTTCTAATAACATATTACAAATTTTATAGTGTCCATTTCTAGCTGCATAATGTAATGCTGTATATCCAGCTGAATCTTCTATATTAGGAGAAACACCTTTCTTCAATAATGTCTTTACACGATCCAAATCATTATATTGTGCTAAAAGTTACATAACTATTAGTAAAAAATAAAATCTTGAAAATAATGTATTTAAAATTGAATAAATTTAATTATTTACCAGCATACCATATACCACGTTCAAACTCCATTTCCATTAGAGATTGACAAACACTGACATTAGTACTTACATTGCAGCATTTATTATGATCATTATAACTATGATTATGCTCCATGTTTAATATAGATACAGATTTAATACCTGAGTGATTTACCTGTCGTTCCATTAAAAAAAAAAAATAAATAAAATTGCATTTAAAATCTTTTTACTATACAAATTTAAGTATTAAATCATTATGAATGGAAAATAGTTTTTGATAAATTATTATCAATAATAATGAAAATATATATATAAGAAAGTATTTTTAGATTATATTAATCATATATTTTTTAACAAATTTTCATTTACAATATGCAAAAAAATTTATTTTGTTTACATATATTATATATAAATTATATATATATATATATATATATATATATTTATATAGTGAATATATCGAATTCATATATGAAAATAAGATTGGTATATAAAATTGACTTTTATGTAACATATCGTATTTCAATTATTTTGTAATAAATAGAATATATCGATTAATTAGTATATAATTTCTTTTCATTTCGAAGCGTGATGCTGTGCTAACACATGTTGAATACGATACAAATTCTATTGCACATTATGTAATAATCCTAGTTTTGATTCCATGTATTATATATTATAAATATTATTTCGAATGTAGACAAAAAATAACAATTTTTTTTAAAATTAAAATGTATATTGCATATCATGCAATTTGATATATCAAATGCATCAAATTTCTTTATTAAAAGAAAAATTCTGAATTTTAATGTATTATCTAAACGGCTGTTAATTAATAATTTCTGCACAAATTAAAAATAATGAATAAAATTAAGGATATTTTTTTTATTATTTCTATATTCTATTATATAATTTTATATGCTTGTTTAATGATCGTTTTTTATGTATTTTTATATTAATAAGTAAAATAATTAACTATGAAAAAAGATATTAATTTAAACGGAAATATGTAGAAACTGGAATCTATATCTTATACAGTCTTATTAATATCATAATTAATATTATTATTATTATTATTATTATTATTATTATTATTATTATTATTATTATTATTATTAATTCATATAAAAATGAACTGAAGATTTTTTTAAAATTTGCTTGAAAATTGCAAAAATCAAATGCATTTAATATATATTTCGATGTATGATTGTTTTAATCTATTATATATTTTTTACGAATATAATATGTGAAAAGTATTGCCAAAATTTTTCATGAAAAACTATTAATACAAATATATCCCATAAAAAGTACATATCTTGAGAGCAAGTTAAAAAATGTTGATAAAAATTTGATAATGAAAGTGAACTTCATATACTACGTGTTTTACATGTATAAATTTTTCGTATATAAATAAATAATATAATACTTTTTTTTTCAATCTGCATGCATATTAGCAAGCTTACTCGCATTTGTCTTGTATATAAGTAGTATTTTTCTCTTATAAATATAATCCTGAGAATATAAATTGTTGACTTTACAATTCTCTTTGCAATGTCCAAAGTATTTCGGCCTCCCCCGTGCTACAAATAACTCGATATCCTAATTCTGCCAAGGCATTAATGATGGAAAAAGGTGGTCCTGTAATAAATTTTATTGCTCAAATTAAAAAAGAAATATCGTATTAATAAAACATATTAATGTTGAACTTCGATAAAATATTTGAATATAACATCTTAAAAAATATCATTGCTATTTTATTATGAATTTATTAATATATAATATTCTTATAATAAATTCAATATTTTATTGTTAAAAATTTTAAACTAATTTTAAATTTTAAATGATAAAAATATAATAAATATTACCAAGAAAAAACTTTAATCATAAATCTATTTTTATTAACATATTATCACTATTTTTATTATTAATTTTCTAAGATAAAATATATTATTTAAAGACTGCAATTGCATCTATTTCTTTGAGAGATATTTTTTATAATACTTTTACAAATTATATTATAACAATATTTCAAGAAATTGATTAATTAAACAAAAAAATTACAATTATTCTGTGAAAAAAAGTATAAAAAGTAGGCAATGGTAACCTTTAATCATAACACCGTTGACCACATCTGATCCAGAATTCGGAAAACGCTTGGAAAGAGCCAAAATTTCATCCGAATTTAAACCAAAGACAACACAATCATTCGCAAATGGAGATGCTTTTACACCAACATAATAGTAATTTTCATCATTTATTACATTGGCTAATTTTCCGATCATTGCATTTCCTGATTGCGACATTGTTCAGCTAAAAGGGTTGCTAGACTTCGTTGTCTTTTACTGTTAAAAGAAAAATATTGCTTCTAAAATGCTGTTGGAAAAAATACAAAAATATTTTGTATCTTTTTTATTTTCTCTTATAAAGAAAAAATTTTATTAGTATTATGTTTCACATTAAAATAAATAAAAGAGAATAGAAAAAAAATATTTCTTCTTAAATTGATAAAATGATATTATACAAAATAATAATTAGTATATATAATTTCCTAAATAAAAATCGAATATTTCTATATTAACAAAAAAAAAAAAAAACATAATTATATATATAAAAAAAAAGTAAAATTATATTTATATAATATAATTTTATAAATTTATAATTTAATTTTTTCAATATAGCAGAGGAAAAGGTAAGTTATTACATATATGTTAATTAAAATAATATATTCTAGTAATATAATTATAATAATATATATTTCTAATGTATTACTTAAAAATTATACAAAATACATTATGACGATTTTATTTAAATTTAAAAAAAAAATTATATTTCATCCTAAATTGATAAATTGATAACAATATTTTATATTTTCTTCATTATAATTTATATAATGAAAGAAATAAAAATATAATTATATGCATAAAAATATAATATATATAAATATATAATTATTATATATATATATATATATATAATTATGAATTATATATAAATATATAATTCAAGTATATCCATTCAATAGATAAAATTTGTTATAAAATTAAAATACAAATGAAATTGTTTTTATTTCTATTTTATTTAGTTAATTATCTTTCTTATTTTTCTTTAAATTATATCACACAAGTTTCATGGAATCCAGCAAACTTCAGATTAAACTATTAATTAAGTAATTTTTTTTAGTATCATTATTTTCAATTACACTATCTTGATTGATCCAATTCCATTTATTATTTTGCATCATTAAAAATGCATATTTTATTATTACTGTTATATTTATAAGTAATATATAATATATATATATAATAATAATAATAATATATAATTTTTTATAATTCCAATTATCTAAATCTTTTAAATCTTTTAACTATATGTAATATTCTGATCAATTGATAATATATAATAATAATAATATATAATTTTTTATAATTCCAATTATCTAAATCTTTTAAATCTTTTAACTATATGTAATTCTGTAATTCTGATCAATTGATAATTTTTGTTTTAGTTATCTATTGTATTTATTTTATATTGTTAAAATTATTAGATTTATGTTTCTTAATATATCTATATAAAAAAAACTAATTTAATATTTTCTGAATACTTTGGACATTTTTCTTATATATTGTTCCATATTAATTTAAAATATATGATTATGGTACTTTGGAATATATGATTATAAAATTTGTAAAATAATTACTTGAGTTACTTTTATTAAATATCATCTATACTTTTTTTTAAATTTTATATATTTTATTTATTTATAAAACTTTTAGTTTTCAAAATAGTAAATTCATTTAATAATAATAAAATAAAAATTTATTTATATAATATTATTTATATATATAATTATATAAATACTAGATAGAATCAAAACTAATATTAAACTCATATAAAAAAATAAGCATACTTAAAAATTAAAAGATATTATTACAATATAATTAAATATTATAGTCAAAAGTATATAATTAGCACAGCATCAAATCAATCTTATCTATATTTAAAATTTATGTTATTTAAAATTTGTCAAATTTATTGAAAAAAAAAATCGTGTATAATTCAACTTTTATGTTTACAATAAAAATCAATTAAAAATTTGTAATATCAATGAAAATTATTGATATATATATATATATATATATATATATTAGCTTATACAACAAAAAATTTTAGACGAATTACATAAAATGCCAAACAATATATGTAATTGTTATAAATAAAATATGTGATACAAAATCAATGATATCAAATTAAACGTCAATTATTACATACATAACCTCTTTAAAGTACATTTGTGATTATTTCTATCTTTATAAAAGAATAATAAAATAGATAACGAATATTTTTCAATTATATAAATAATATTTTAATTTCTACAACGTATTAAAATTAATATTAAACGTATTAAAATTGTAAAAAATTTAATATAATGGAATAATTTCACAATCAGCATTACACGAAATATCGTTATATAGTTATATCGAAATATTATTTTAACAAAAAATACAAAAAACGAATAAGCATTTTTAATAAATTGATAGATTAATATGAATTGTACATTTGTATATTTTGTAATACATTGAATCTGTATTTAATCATAATATATTTTTTTTTAGAAAAAAAAAAAGAGTTCATTATTATTATTATTATTATTGTTATTATTATTATTATTATTACTATTATTATTATTACATACAAAAAAATTATAAAATATATATTTTATTATTATTGTTGTTATTATTGTTATTGTCGTTATTACGTTTTTATTGTTTATATACATATTTAATAACTTTCTTTCCTCTAATGTTTAAAGTAATTTATATAACATACATTATTTTAATTAAAATTTTATATTAAAATTAAAAATATTTTATGAATTTATACACATTTCTTTTCAATTTTAAAATATTAAAGATATAATAGATATAATATATTATATTCAATTTTTAATTAAATATGTAAATATATCTAATCATATTATTATTAATGAGAATAAAAGTAATTGTTATAATATCATACCTGTCTTAATAACAGGTTCGGGTTCAGGTTCAGAAAAATCTTTTCTCATAGTCCACATATACTCATTATAATCTTGTTTAACACTAGTACTTGAAGATGCTACGACTTTGTAACCAAGAACTTCTAAAGCAGTTAATATTACACAAGGATGTTGTAAATACACTATTGTCGAATCATCACTATATCCTCCAGAAGCAAAACGACTCAGTTGTTCTATATCGGATGCTACAACACACGTGAATAATATTATATAGTTTTTGACGTAATTTCGTATTTTTTTATTGTTTCAATATTTTTTTTCCGGATTTTTATATGAATTAAAACAAAAAACAAGAATTATATATATATAAAAGTCGTAGATTCTAACGGGTCTCAAATAAAAAGTAATAAATCAATCTTACTTACAATCTATATGATAATTTTTATCATTTTATCATGATAATAGATGAAGATAATTGATGAAAAAACGGTCGTAGATATAACATTTTACTTAATCATTAGTATCATTTTTACATTTATGAAAAATATGAATTCAAATAAACTGAAAAAAATCGATAAACTAAAAATTTTCAATTATAAATCATGACAAATATTACAATATTATTTTTATATATTTCATAAATCACATAAATTTCAAAATATTTTTTTTATTAGAGTTATTAATCTGGATAAAAAAAATTATATACACATATATAATATATATATATATAATGTGTGTGCGTGCATGCGTACGTACATGTATGTTTAATACGAATTTTTTGTATATTAATATTAATATTATTAATACTAATTATTACTAGAAAAATATTATTATTACAATTTTATTTATTAATAATAGAATATTTATTTATTCATTTATCATAAAAATATTATATATATGATAAATATTACATTATATTTTGAAAATTTTCTAGAAAAGAATTTAATATTTAATATATACTTATAATTTACCGTTTATTTTTATTATTATTTTATGTGCGCGCGCTTGCAATCATAAGGAAAATATATACATATAAATATTTTATATGTATATAAGCTGATATACATGAAATATATCACGCGCGCGCGCGCATACACACACACACACACATACATGCATTATTTTGATATAATAGCATATATTATGAAAATATGTAAATAATAGAAGTAGAAACTTCTAAAAATTTCTCTTTATAAGAAATATAAAATAAAAAGTATAAGATATTAAAAATTGCATATTTAGAAAATATCAATTATCAACATAAAATTTATTTTTAAAATTATTAATACATATATGATAATGAAATAATATATAGTAATATATTATATTTGAATATAATAAGTAATATAAGTATTTGAATTTCAAAATAAAGAATTATACCTTTAAGACCTGATACTAAAACTCTCCATGGATATCGATGACCATATGATGCAAGATTACCACGTACCAAAATGTATGGCATCTGTAATATTACTCTAAAACAAATTCATTTAATAATTAAATTATATTTAAAACATAATTATGTATTTGAGTGATATTAATATATATATAAAAACTTAATTTTTGATAATAAAAACTAAAACTTAAATGTAAAAATGCATTTTAAATACAAATATGATACAAATATTTAACAATATCTATTATTAAGCTTTGTTAAAATTTTGATTTGATTAACCTATTATTTAAATAATGTGTTACATGTAAATAAAGAAAATAAATTATTGTTTAATCATTGATATATTCTTTTTTAATATTTATGATATAAATGATATATATTTATTAATTTTTTCAAAATTATTTTATTTTTATTAATAAATTAAAAATTTTTATTTTTTATTTTTATAAATAAGTATTCATTAATTTTTTATATTTAAATTATGTGTATTCACCTGTTAACATGTACAGAAACTTTTTGATTCACTAATACTATTCTTAACCAAAAATTTTTTTATATTTTATTAATGATAATCAAAAACAATAAAGCAAATTAAATTTTTATCGACACTATCAAGATTTTCAAACTTATGAAGAACTTCACGAAGTTATGTTAAACATAAATCCCAATTAATAAAGCATAAATACATAATACAATACTTGCATGTTACAAGCGCATGCTAACTAAACTATGTTAGTATTAACATTCATCCCCTACTATTTAAATTTGATAAATATTTAATTGATTTTTAATTTAAATCTATTATTTTTTAAAATAAATCCTCCAATAATTTTTATTATAAACAATTTTGATTTCTATTATTTAGAAATATAGAATTTATAAAAAATGAAGAAAGATAAATTAAATTAAAGATTATTAAATAGATTATTAAATAGATTATTAATTAAATTATTTAAATTAAATTATATTTTAATTTTTATATGCTTTGTATAAAATTGTAATAAAAATTCATAAATATATATATATATATAATATATGATATATATTATAAATATATATCATAAATATTATATATATATATATAATAAAAATTATTAAATGTTTTCAATTATATTACTATATCTTTTGTATAAAAAAATTTAAATTATTTTTTTCCATTTAAATTGTAATATAATAAAGATATTTTATATATTTTTTTATATTTCTGTATATAAAATTTAATGACATGAATGAATTTTATGAATATTATAATAAGACAAATATAATAATAATTTGTATTATTAAACAAATTTTCAATCTTTTATATAAATATTTTATATAAATATTTTATTAAATAAGAATATATTATAATTTTAGATATTTAAATATTAATTATAGAGTATTACATTGTTTATTGTAATTGCAATTTTTAAATTTTATTAATTATAAATAAATATTAATCAATTTTATAAATAAAATTGAAAGAAAAAAAAAACCAATCAATATCTTCGTTTAGATGGAATTGAAATGCGGTTGGTTCATATACTTGTAATAAATTATATGAATCGTATATCAATTGGTAATAGTAATTTTTATATTTGATATATAAAAATATATGTAATTTAGCATAAATTTTGAGATATTTTTTATAATACAACAAATAATTTGATTAATTATTTAATTTTGAAATATATTACAATATATACATTTATACACTCAGAATTATTGCCATTATGATAAAATGATATCTATCTTTCTTTATCTTTCTATGGTCTAAAAATTATAGATTCGATAATATTATACTTACAACTGTAAAAATTATTTTTATTTATATTTTTAAAAACGTATAATTATATTATTAAAATTAAATTTGTATAACGCATTAGTATAGATTAATAAAAAGAACAATTAAAAAGTAGTGACAGGTGGTTTGACATTTATTCGCCGCCATCGTTATTAGCGACAGTGATCTGCCATATTGCGCGTGATATAAAGAATTGCAATACATTTACGTTATTACGATTATTATTTGTATATTTAATACAAGTACTTGTTTATGTAGTAATAATATTTTAACAAAATCTTTATAATACAATTTGTGGGAAAACATTCCATAGTAGTGTACTGCAAAACGGTGAGTAGACAACGATGCATTGTTGACATCAGAAACTTTTTTGTAGCAAACAGTTGTCATCAAAGAAATTGCAATTTGATTGTTTGTATTTATAAATTTCAAAACTACTATTATCATATTTTTTTATATAATAATTTATAACTTCTTCAATATTTTTAAATAATATTGTGATAATTATAATTTAAACGATTATTATTTTATCTGTTTTATTGAAAAACATTTGAATAAGCACATCTTTACATAGTATTATTATATTTTTATAACCGTAGTCTATTATTATTTAAATTTTTACAAAATAATATTGTATTAGAATGATTGATGTTAATGTGATATCATTTAATATATATAACTTTTCTATGAACTTATTAACAAAATTTATCATTAACAAAATGATCATTCAATTTATTAATAATTGTAATAAAATTTTATTTATTGTTTTAATATTTATGAAAAATTTGTTTGAAACATTTGTTTGATATTGTATTTATCAATTATGTTATAATGATTATGTATAATTATATACATGCAATTATTTTTATGTAAATTTATATTTATATGTATAATAAAAATATTTTTTATAATTTTTTTTCATTGTATTGTTGTCATTTATGGTTTCTTTTTTGTTATATATGTTTAATATATAAGATGCTTAATAAATTTTATTTTAAATTATACAATGTTTATTGTTTTATAATATATCTGTTTTAGATATTGTATTAATATGAAAATTAAAAAAATTGCATATAATGATTTTGATATATAAACTTATATTATATTAATTTATATATTTTGCAAGAATTTAAAGATTTATAAATTATGTATTTACAGATAAAACATGTCAACAGGACCATATAATTATTCTTATATCTTCAAATACATTATTATAGGAGATATGGGAGTAGGAAAATCATGCTTACTACATCAGTTTACAGAAAAAAAATGTAAGTTATTAGTGTCATAGTTGAAAAAAATAGAATAGAATAAAGATGTTATGATTAAAGGTTAAAAATACATAATTTTTATAATACCAGAAATATATTTATATTTTGATATTATTATAGATGAATATTATAGATGAATAAAATATTTAAAAATAATAAAATATAATTCTTATAATCTTTATAAATAATACAAATTTATATTTCATATAAATTATTAAGTATTTTTTTTTAAAATAAATGGAAAATAATATGGAAATAATAATTTTAAAATAATATGGAAAATTTTTTCTATATTATAGTTATGGCAGATTGCCCACATACTATTGGTGTTGAGTTTGGAACAAGAATTATTGAAGTTGCAGGACAAAAAATAAAATTACAAATATGGGATACTGCTGGTCAAGAACGTTTTAGAGCAGTTACTAGGTCTATATGCTCTTATAATTATTAAATTGTAATATTTTAAATAAAAAAGGCAATAACAAAATAGATATATATTTGTCTACATAATTATAGATTTATATATATATATATATATATATATATGCACATATATATTATAGATCTTATTACCGAGGTGCAGCTGGAGCATTAATGGTCTATGACATAACTCGTCGTTCAACTTATAATCATCTTAGCAGCTGGCTTACAGATACAAGGAATTTAACAAATCCAAGCACTGTATGCAAAATATGATATTTTACATAATGGTATTTACGTCTGTAAAGTGTAAACTACATTGATGCAGAACTGTTGAATGATGTATTTCTCATACTCTATAAATAATAGGTTTATACTATTTATGTAACAAAAAATTTTACATATTGTATTTACAGGTTATATTTTTAATCGGAAATAAAAGTGATTTAGAAGGTCAACGAGATGTTACTTATGAAGAAGCAAAACAATTTGCTGATGAAAATGGTCTTATGTTTGTAGAAGCTAGTGCAAAAACGTAAGCCTAAGTTATGCAATTAAAATATAGATCTATAATAAAATTATATAATTAGAAAAAATTATATTTCATGTTTTTTTTCTTAGAGGCCACAATGTTGAAGAGGCTTTTTTGGAAACAGCAAAAAAAATATTTCAAAGTATACAAGATGGCCGGTCAGTTACTAAAACTGATTTTAGTTGCAATATAATAATAATATATATTATAATAATATATAATAATATAATATAATAATTTGATTGATACAATTTCATATTTTTATTAAAAATTTTATTTTAATAATTTAATAATTTATTTATAGTTTGGATTTAAATGCAGCTGAATCTGGAGTTCAACATAATCCAAGTCAACCAGGTCGTACTAATCTTCAAGGAGTATCTAATGAACAACAAGGTGGAAAAGATTCTTGCTCCTGTTAGGTCTATTTGTTTGTATATAGAAATATGAATTCATCGGTACTATTGATGCATATATGATTTGTACTAAGTATAGTAAGCAAATAGTCTCCTGTCTTTATCCCTTTCATATGTGAGATCTATTCAAAAAGAAATATCAATTTTTTTTCTAGTTAGATTTGATTTACAGAAATGAAATACAGATATATGATTTGGTCTACATATGCATAAATAAATTGTACTGATAACAGTAATTCTGTATTAACATTGAAAATGATATTGATATTTCAATGTTAAAGCTTTTTTATGGTTATTGTAATTTGCATATATGCAAATATTATTGCATATGCTGTATACTTTATTGCATAAAAAAATTGAATATTAGGTAATATATTGTACTCACAAATACACGTATATTGTACACATGTACATGTACATGATATAAAATGTTTACTTAATCACAAAAGAATATGATAAATGTGAATGTGATGCAGCCAAATAAGATAAACATTTATCATTGTAAATTGAATTTGTGTAACAAGATTGAGCACGTTTGATCATGTTTGTTATATAATTTGCAATTTGAGAGTTATTGTATTATAATCTTAAGTGCAAAAAATTGTTAATATATCTGAATTTCTCAATAGCATCAGAGTTGTCATAAAGTCGCATAATGAAAAATAGAATTAATGTCAACTCTAGTGTTCCATAACTACAACCACCCACTTTCATATCATATAAAACATATAAATTGCTAACTTAAATTTAAATATATTATTTTTATTTTCAGTTTGAAAAACATTTTAATTTTCAAATATTTTGGAATGTTCTATGTTTCTAATTTGATAAAAAAAATATTTAATAATACAATACATTATTATCATTAATATATAATATAATTATATTATTATCATTGCTATTATTTCAAAGATTTTAAAAACTATCAGTCCTTCCTTTTAATAAGACATATTTTTCATGACATTATATTTATCAACATTCTTATGCAGCTAAAAATATTGTATTAATTTATATATTTGATATTATATATGTTTAATCTTTATTCTCATTTCATGTTATATTAATTTTAAAAAATAGAAAAAAAAATTACTTAAAAATTAGTTAAAATTTTTTATTATTTTAATTGACAACTATATTGTGTTTAGTAGTAAATTTTTTTAAAATTACAATTTTACATATTATCTTTGATTAAAATAAACAACAAGAAATTTATTTAAAATAAAGCAGAACAATTTATTTAAGACAGAACATTGTTATTTTTAGTTTAATGAAATAGATTAATTAATATTTACATCCTATTTAACATATTGTAAAATTATCTTATAGTTTATATTGATAAGAAATGCATTTAATTTTACCGCCTAAATTCGTTATAAAAATAATTTAAAAATATAAAATATTATTTTAAATAAATTTGATCAAGATTTTTCAGACTCATTTAAAATAATTGTTATTTTATAATGTAAGTTTGAAAACCTAATTTAAATTTTAATTACTCATCAATATATTTTTCATATCTTGTACATATAAATAATTAATAATAAAAATAAATATTTATATTATAGCTGCATTAATATTATTGATTTTACTTAATTTGAGATGAAATTCATGTATGAAGAAATATATTATCATCATAATTTTTTTATAACTTTAAAAAAATAAAGATAATACAAATCATGTAAAAAATTGATAGCATATTTGATTTAATAAAATTTTCTCTTAAATTTAACATGTCATATCATTATACATAGATATAATATTACTTCATACAGATAAATATATATCTCATTGTTTCATATTTTGGATTTTTAAGTTATTACAAATGATTTTAAAATATAAACTTTTAAAAGATTTTATATCTATTTATAATATATAATATAATCTTTTTTTCTAATTACTAGATTTATTCTATTTTATTATTATTTTTTGTATAATTGTTCTTAATAGAATTTCTTATTAGAATTTTATATTAATAAAGAAATTCTCAAGTCATTAAATTATGATTGATAAATTTAAAATATTTAATAATATCTTTCATACATTAAATAATAATATATTTAATTTTACCGCCTAAATTCGTTATAAAAATAATTTAAAAATATAAAACGTAACAATTGAATTAGATGTATAAATTTAACTTCATCAGACGTATAAGAGAAGGATTAAATTGTTATAACATAGTAAATTTTCAAGTTAAAAATTGTTCTACAATGAATTATCAATATATTTATATTATTTTTATGATTGGTATAATGTTTTGTTTAATAAAGGGGTAAGTTATTTTTAATAATAATACACATCAATATATTTTTTTTTATAAAAATTTAATTTTATTTCATGAGATAATATTGAATAAATGTTTGTTTATGAAAATTAAAGAATATTTATGACATATTAATTTTATCAAAAAAAAATATTATTTTTTATATTTATTTATTTTGATAAATTTTAATGATATTTTAAAATTACTTTGTTATATTTTTACTTTAATTGATTTTAATTCATAATATGTAATATATTGAGTATTTTAAATTTTTTATTTAATATTGTTTTTAAAATAATACTATATTAAATATTAGTACAAAGTCATAAATTAATTATTAATAGTTATAATAGATAATAATAATAATTAATAATAATAATAATTAAAAATTATGTTAACAATATAATTTTTTATTGCATTTCTTATTCGTATTTATTATAACCTGTTTTCATCATCGTGTTATACAAGAAATTTGTAAAGATTCATTAATTTGTAAGTTTTAATAACAATATTTAAATGTTCTATTATTATATGCCGTAAAAAATATGTTATTGTTTTACATACAATCTATATTTTAATATTTTTTTTTTGCTAAATTTTGTTTGATATCAAAAATTTTTATATTTTTTTATATAAACATATTCAACAAATAAAGCTCAGAAAAAATATTAGTTCTATCATTTGTTTAAAGCAAAGTAACAATGATGGTTTAAAACATGAAAATTTAGAATATTTTAAAATTATAAAAAAAAAGTTTAATATTCTTACATATAATTATATCATTCATTCGCTGCAGTAGTGACATAATTTAAAAATTATAGTTTTTTAATTATTAATATAGAAATAACCATTTTATTAGTAGAATTTTAAATTTGAAATGAGAATTTAAAATTTTAATGAATTTTAATTTTTATAAATGTTGAAAACATTTAGATTCATGTTAAAATTGTAATTTTTATATTATGATGTTATTGCAGTAAATGAGCAATACAATAAAAATGTTTTCAAATAATCAAATTTATTTTTTATTTTTATAATTTATTAGGCATAAAGAAATACTTTTTGATTTTACAACTGTAGAAAATGTAGATAATTGGAAAGAAATATCTGACACTGTAAGAACAGTAGGAAAGTCAAAAGCTGTATTAGTATTGCAAACAACACAAATTTTTCAATATGCTGTATTCTTTACTCTTTTGAATCCACAACTAAATGGTGCAGGTTTTGCAGGAATACGTACAATTACTAATTTAAATTTATCTAATTTTAAAAATGTTGAAATCAATTGTCGAGGACAAGGCAGCAATATTTACTATAAAGTTGTTCTTAGACACAAAGGTCTTCATTCAAATAAAGATATAACATATGAACAATTTTTCACGGTAAATTTTAGTCACATTATATATTTTAAATTATTTCTAAAAACAATATAAAAAAATTATTAAATTATAAAAAAATAATTTTCTGAATATATTATTTAAATTACATTATTATTATTTAAAAAGTTTTAAATAAAAATAATTTCCAAATATATATTAATTTAATATAAAAATCATATTAAATCACATTAGGCACCAATGTCAAATATTGATTTTTCAACTGTGATATTGCCTTTGAAAAATTTTAAACCATATTATCATGGACGAGAAGTACCTGATGTAGAACCATTAGACACTGCAAATATTACAATGTTTGGTTTACAAATGTATGGTGGAGTTTATTTACCAATTAAACAAAAAGGTGTATCAGCATTAGAATTAATAAATATATCAGCATCATAATTACTGTATGATATGAACAATATAAATAATATAAGAAATTAAATTATTTCAATAATTTTATTAATTATTTTTCTTGACTTTGTCAATTGTTATTTTAATTTATATTTTAAATACCAATTTGTAAAGGAAATAAAAAAATATACACGGATATGCGAAATTTATAAAATTATTTAATTATTATAGATATATATATTTTAATCAAATATGTTAATTTCTCATTGTTATTTATGTTAATTTGCGTAAATTAACAAGAATTTTTTAAATAAAAAATTTTTTGAATAAAAAATGTATTTCTTTTTTTTGAATTTGTGTTCAAATAGAAACATTGTAATATATGGTTTTCTTTTAATTTTTTTGAATATTCTTCTAATTAATTATTAATTATTTTATTAATGATAATTATTATTTTAAATTTACCAGTCATTTAAGTAACTTTCTTCAAGAACATTATATGATTTAAGATCGTGATTGAATCTGTAATAAAAACATATAACATACATATATATATATATATAATTTATAATATACTTATATACTATAATTATACTAATTTATAATATTTATAATATACTTATAATTATTAATATTGATATTAATTATATTAATGTAAAAATCATTTACTTACGTTTTAAATGCATCAACTATTTCCGGTACTTTCGATGGATGACATACAACAGTTGTTCTACATTCTTTTGGATCAAATAATGGTTTTAAATATTGTGATGCTATACGATCCATATCCTCAATTGTTACTTCAGATACATGTTGTACCATTTGTTGAGTATAATCGTGTGGTACATTTTTAAAATAAGACAATAATGATTGTTCTACTAAATCACCTACATTTTGTTCTTTTTCAATAATTTCAAATATTAAACAAGATTTTGCTGATTCAAAAAGTAATTTTTCCCATTTATTTTCAAAAATATGAATTTCCTATATTTAATTTAGTAAATAAATAATTTTATTTGTATTTTAAATATCAAATATTTACTTAATTATAATCTAAGCATACTTACTACAATTGATTTTGCTTCTTTATAAGCTGCTATAACATTTGTAGATTTATAAAGTGAAAAATATAATAGGCCGTCATTTGGTTTAGGATAGATAGCATATCCATAAGATAGACCCTGACCTCTAATGAGTTTCCACATAGGACCCTTTTGTAATATTTGTATTTAAATTAAATATTAAATATAATATAATTAAATATTATTAAATTATATTATATTAAATAAATATTAAATTATATATTATATAATTATATTTCTTATATTTATATTCAATTATTATTTATTTACCTCTAATTGAGTTAAATACTTTATACAAACAAGTAAAGGAGCTAGATCTGGACTCTGGTAATCACTTATACATGGACAACACTGACATAAATAGGAAGATTCTATGCTACCTAATCCTGTAACGCATCCTCTAAATGAAATTTCATCTGGAGAATTTATCAATGTAGAATCAGGAATGGCTTCAAGTCTGTATAATTATATATTTACGATTTATATGCAAATATGTAATTTGTAATTTAAATTGTATAAATAAACTAACTTAATCTTGCTTGATGTATCAAAAGTAGAAAAGTAAGTGTTCCATGGATTGTAAACATTTGGTACTTGAGCAGTTAATTTATCCACATTAGTTGCCATGTATAATACCATGTTTTTAGGTATTGTTAACAGTTCTCTAACTGATTCAATTTCAGATACAATTTCTTTTTGTCCTGTTTCATTATTCAAACGTTCTAGAACATTATTAAGAAATTTTTGTTGTCGTAACATACTAGATGTGTAAGGATTGCTATCTAAAAATGCAAAATATTATTATTATTATTTACAATTATGTAATATATAATTCCTCGTAACATTCTTTTACCCTTATTATATATCAGTCCCTTCATCAAATCATTTACTACTTTATTTCCTTGTCTCTTAACTTGAGCAACATCATTTACCATTTTTGCAGCTGTTATTTTCAATCTATCTGGAGTTAATTTAGTTTCATATAAAAGTTCTTTAATCCATTGTACACCTTTTTCATATTTTTCTATTTCAATCTAAAAATAATAGGTATTTAAAATTATTAAATAATTATAGAAAATAATTTATTTAATATAAAAAATTGTTACCTGATAAAAATTAATATAAAAATGTTACCTGAAGTATTAAAAGAGCACTATAGCTATATAATCCACATGAAAATTTCGAAGAATTAATTCCAACTCCAAGTGCAGTAGCATTGTTTGTAGTATCAGCTTCCAATTCAGCTACAATTTCTTCATATGGAATGAGTTGACCATTTCTCATTACTGGACATTCCATTATTATTTCCAGCAATAAAGGAATATAAGGTTTATATTCTTTTTTTACATTTGAAGTATTCATAATAACAAACATCTGGAAAAGAAATATATATAGTCAGTCAAATGATATCAAATAATAAAAAATAATGAATAGATAAAAAAATAATAAACATAATTATACATACATAAACAAAATTTGTATTAACATGATCCAAATATGTATAAAATGGCAATTTTGATACATCAAATCTAGAATGTTGTTTACTCGTTTCTGTTGTATAACTTTTAATGTAGTGAAAATTAATAAGATGAGTAGATGGTATAGGAACAGAACTCAATATTTCATCTGGTACTGGTATCTAAAAATGTATTCATTAAAATGTTAAAAAAAAAGAAATATATATTTATATACACATGAATATAAAATTAAATACATTATTCTTAGCAATTGCTTCTTGCAATTTTCTTTCTTTCTCTTGAAGACCTTCTTTACCTAAATTTTCAATCTGTTTAGCAACACGAACTTTTTCTTTTTCAGTTAATTCATGTTTTTTTTCTAAACTAGGAATTCCTTTAACTATTACAAATGGAGGATCAATAAAATATGTTTTTAACAAATTTAACCAATAAGATTCAGGTTCAGTTTCTAATTTCCGAAAATCTTGTATTTCATTTGTTCTTTGATCCAACTAAGATTATAAAAACAAATATATCATCATTATAAAAATATTTTTGAATAAAATATTTTGTAATATATTCATTTAAAAGAACTTACATCATCCTTAGAATTACCATAAAGTGCATATCCAAAAAGCATATGTGCAACTGAATCATGAGGTTCATTTTCTAAACAACTCAAAGTTTCAAGAATACGTCTATGAACAACTGTTTTCATTCGTTTCATATCAATTCCTTTTTCATATACATCATTCAGTACTTTTAACAATTGATCTTTTATCAAAGGTATTTTTAATTTTGGTACACTTTCAAATTCAAGACATAGTTCAGATATTGTATATTTAGGATAAGAATAACCAACATTACTGGCATATGCATCATCAATTTCAACAAATTCTTTTTGCACTGGACTAACTGATGTATCTGTGAGGTATTTTAAAAGTAATGTACAACCAATAAGATCATACATTTTATTATTAATAGAAGATCCCCTCCATGCAACATTCACTATTCCATTATCTTCATTATCACAAGGATAATATACATCTACATCAACAGTTTTAGTAAGAGATGGTATAGGATTTTGCCAAGGTCTTTTAAAGAAATTTCTATTTCCCTAAAATATTTGTTACTTTTTGACTATGTTATACAAATTGTAAAAAATTTAAAATAAATTACAATGAATGAAATTTAATAACAAATAATTTTACATATACCTTTGCTATTATTTTCTTTTCTATGGTTTGTAATGCTTTAAATACATCTGCATGTTTCACTTGACCAGCGATTACTATTGTTAAATTCTCTGGTCTATAAAATTCTTGATGATATTCTCTAATTTTTTCATTATTAGTACTTTCTCTTAAATTTTTTAATGCTCCTGAAGAAAATATAATATTTTTCTTTTAAAAGCTGTAATATATATTATTTAATATTTCCATTTTAAGATTGTAAAATTTTTAAGAAATTATATATTTTTACCTCCTACATTAGATTTATAACCACATCGTCCAGGAAAAAGTGCTCTTATCTGTTCCATGTATACTAAATATTCTCCAGTAGCTTCTTTTCCTTGCATTTCACAATAAACTACACCTGCATCTTCGCCTTCACCATTAACATGATGTATTTCAGTAAGAAAAGCTGCATCCTAAAAAAATAAACTTTATTTTGTTACTTTATAAATATTTTACAAATATAATATAAAATATTAAAAATTTATAATATATAATATATTATACCGTAAGTAATGGGTAAAGTATATGATCTAAATATATAGGCATTAAAGATAGAAATCCTTCACTTCCAGCAGTTATCATAGTATAAAAAGTAGAATCAATTTGTGTTGCAGCATTGGTACCAGATGCTAAACATCTATTGGCCAATAAGTCCAAAACACCTTTGTATGGATAATCCTCACTACCCAGGAAAACAAGATGTTCCAATGTATGAGGTAATCCATCATCATCATGTGCCTCAGTAGCTAAATTTATAAATGTATATATGTATTAATAATACATATAAATGTATTATGTATATATATATGTGTATAATATATATATATATATATATATATAAAATAATAATATAATATAAACACTATATTAAAATAATAAGAAATATAAAAACAAAAGAAATTACCAAGACAAAAGTAACCATTTACAACAGGTCCCTCAACGTCTGCAATACAAACAGTAATTCCAGTATCTCTGGATTTATAAATATGTACCGGTATTGTATCATTTGCTTTTATTGAATATATAAAATCAAATGCTCCCATGTTTTCTCTTGGTGAATTGTCTACCGGCGCCATGTTATATCTCATTAAATTTCTGCTAACTTTAAAACTTTTTAAAAGCAATACCAATATTTAAATTTTTATATCTGAAGAAATGCAACTTATGTATAAAACAATCGACAAATTATTGAAATTATCAAGAGAGCATCAGAAGTCAAAGATGTACATATATTTCGAATAATACTTTAATTAAACTTCACTCTAGGATATTTAAAATTTTGAATTCTTTTTATAATTTTTGATTAGTAGAATCGAAAAATATTAATCTTAACTATCAGAATTCATTAGTTTAAAAATTGTATGTATGTCACGTTTTTAAGCTATTTTATGGGTTACAAGATGCCATGTTGATCTTTTACACAATCCTATTGGATAATAAAAGTATTTGTACGCGTCAAATTCGAATTTATTTTATTTTCAATTTATGTATTTATATGTATCTTCAAATTCCTTTATGTATTTATATGTATCTTCAAATTCATACAGATAGATAGCGCTATAGTATTATTTGTTTTTTTATCTATTTCTTTATTGCATATTCAAGTATTTCATTGCATTAATACTAATACTAATTGTGAGCTTAACCTAGATCCAGATGCAAAGTAAACAAAAAACCAGGTGACAGTTATGGCAAGATATTCTAGTGAATCAGATTCAGATCATAATAGCAGATATCGACGAAGACGTAGTAGAAGATCTAGGTAAATAATTTAATCCTTTTCAAATTTAGGTGATATAATATATAATATAATATACACGCTTTACCTTATTTATACTTTATTATATTATTTTTTATTTATTTATTTATTTATTTTTTTCGTATTTTACTTCATTGATATAAGTTTAAATATAAAAATATATTATAATTTCCATTAATATATTTAATATCACATTGACATGAAAAACTTAGTTACAAGAAATATATTTATGATATATATTATATATCAAATTTTTCAGATCATCTAGTTCAGATTCTAGTGATTCATCTCCTCATAGAAAAAGATCATCCAAACATTCAAAAACAAAACGTAGACATCGCTCACATTCGAGAAGCAGAGGCAGAGACAGAGATCACAATCAAAAGAGTTATAAAAGTTCTAGAAACAGTAGTTCAAAAGGAAGAGAAAGACATAGATATCATTCTAGGTCTAGATCTTCAGATTGTTCAAAAAGGAAAGCTAGATCTATTTCAAGAGAAAAATCTGGAAGTCGTTCAAGTAGTTCACAATCTAATGTGAAAACTATCGTATCTGAAAAAACTAAAAATGTTTTAATAAAAGGTGAAAATCATCATTATATTATATTACATTATTTTTATTTATATAATTTATAATATTATATAATTTATAATATTATATAAATATAATTTTATAATTAATCATGTTAATCTAATGTTGAATTATCTTTTTTAGATGATTTCCCAATTGAACCTCGTTTTAAAGAAGGTGTATTAGAAGAAATTAATTCTGAAGGTTTTACACCCAAACAATTTTCATCGAGTACAAAGGAAAAAAAGTTTAAAAACATTGTTATAGATATTAACGCAGATACTATACAAGTTCCAACAGTGGCAGAAATTCCTAATGGAACAGAAAGTATTTTTCATTCATCGGTAATATATTCATTTTTTTACTTTTTATATATACATATATAATAAATATATAAATGATATAATAGATATAATATAAATGAATATTATATATTTTATTTTCAAATGCTTTTTGTTTCAGATAATGATCGATCAAGAAGCAAGATTCGATAAATGGGTGAAAAAATTATATACTCTTAGACAAAAAGCTATAGCTGATTTAACACATTCAAATGTGATTTGATAGATGGATAATTTAATTTCGTTAAAATTGATCAATATAAATAAATGTTATTAAAAAAAATGTATTTAATCATATAAGTTAAATTAAAAAAAAATAAATAAGATAAATATTTTATAATTATATTATATTTTACAATTCCTATTTTATAATTCTTTTATAATATTTTATGAATCTTATCTATAAATATTCTTAAAATATTATTTTTTAGAACTTTTTTAAAACTATTTCTTCCTTTAATTTGAATACCAAAAAAAACGTATTTAAAAATACTCAAGAGATTTCTTGATCTTATTTTATTCTTATTTTACCTTATTTTACTTATATTACCTTATACTTGTTAAATGCATTGTTATAGATATTAACAATTTATATTTATAGATATTAATCAAGAAATAGCATTGATATTTATTTCTTATCATATCACATGTTTCATTTGCGGCATTTTCGAAATTGCGATGATTTCAATTTTTTATTCGAACTCTGTCTATTATTTGTTCTCTTTGTTTATAATGATTTTGTGCAAAATTATGTAAGAAATGGTACTACAATATCCGATTTTCTTTATTATTATCTAAAATAAAAAAATATATAATATATATTATGATAATAATATATAATAATAATGTGTATATATAATTATATATATATATATAAATAATAGTAATAGAAACTGATATGTAACATGAGTAATGATGGAATAAAAATAATACGGATCGAAATAAGCATTTGATTTATTATACATCTATTTCCACATATTTTTGAAAGGAAATGAAATAGAAATCTTTATTAGTATGATAATTATATTACAAATAAGCGATTAATATAAAAATATTATTAATGTTATTAGTTCATTCGCATATATGAATAATTTTATAAGCATTCAGACATTTAAAATTAATAATCATATACTTATATTATAAATTTTACGTTTACATAGCGTGAAAGGTGTAAGTAAAAGACTGAACACATTATGGCCTACCGCAATTTTTATTTATGCGGACATTTCTTACTACAGCTACATTTTAAACATTGCTAAATATACATATAATATGATAAATAGTAATAAATATAAAATATATCTTAACAAACATTAAAGATTAGCATACATCTGGTAACGGTTATAAAATTATAGATAAATCATGGAATATTCAAGGACAAATGCTTATTTCGAATATTCTTTCAAAAAACAGAAATATTATAATTAAATTGCAAATGTTAACATAATGCTAATAAATTAATTTACGAGTTTTATCGTATATATCAAAAGAAAAAAAAAAGAAAAAGAAAAAAATTTGTATTTGCTAAATCGAATAAACGATCTTGTTAGTATTATTACCATTTACATATATTCCGTTATAAATGTATATATCGCGAAATTGTACGCAAATAATATCTAACAGTATCGTTTATTTTTAATTGTAAGAACATTAACTTGGAGGTCTTTATGTATATCATACGAATAATTTTATACTAGGAATGATACTGCGTCTGAAACAAACGAAGCATTACAATATTCGTTGAAAACGAATATTGTTAAACGAATGATGATTTTTTTTATTTTTATCGTCGTTCAATTGAAAATATCCTAAAACGATCAAATACATTAGACATCGATATAAAAATTCGATTTGCCTAAAATTATTATCGTTCCTAATACAACTGTGTTTCTACCGTTCCAGACAGAAACTATCCTGTGCATTATAATAAACGTTGCCTCGTGTATTCCCTTTTTGTAATACGCGCAATATATGTTGTTACACCTAGATAAATATTTAATATTGGTATCCTCCATTAGCTGCGGCATCGCCACCATTTCCAGATGGATATCCTCCATTACCATTGCCACCGTTGTTTCCGTTTCTGTATCCACCATTCTCGCCACCTTGTCTTGTGGATGGATATCCTCCTAATTCCATGAAATGAAATTATATTATTATATTTATATAAATGTTGATGGAGAATGAAGATAGAGAATAAAAGATACATACGTATATATATATACATATATATACATATATATATATATATATATATTGATATTTATCTTTTTCGATAAAAAAATAAAATAACATAAAAAGATATTGGAAAAGTTTATATTACACTCGTTATAATCGTGATATAGATTGTATAGATTTAGATATAAACTAACTAGCGTCAGAATTTTTACAGATACAATTTAATTTAATTAATTATTTGTTCATGAACGAGAATCGGGTAATATGATTAAATAAACGAATATTTTCAAGAACGAGCATCTTAATTGATGATTAATTAAAATAGATATCCTATCTGATTACATACCATCACTAAAGTCAGATCCGCCGTTTGGCCTTCCCGATGAATAACCATTACTTGGTCCACCAGTTGGATATCCGTTATCTCCACCATTACCTCCTGGTCCTCCAGATCCATATCCTTGAGAATTTGCTTCACCTTCGTATCTAATTTGAGGTTTAAATCCATCTTGATCAGCTTCGTATTCGACGATTTGTTTTCTACCATCGGGAAGCAGAACATTGAATTCCCCCTGTGCACGATCTCCATCTCTGCTTTCCGTATGGCCATAATCAGCTCCAGATTGCTCGTCTTTCACTTCATAAGAGAATTCGTATTTCGCAGGTTCCTGAATTGATATTGAAAAATATAAAAATAAGAATAAAACATATAAGGATGATAAAAGACAAAGAGAATCGTTATTTTCACTTATATTATAACTTTCGTTAAAAATCGAAGATAACATTGAAAATGATTTATATGGTGTAATGATTTATATCAAATATAATCATTGAAAATAGGGACTCACGTTATTTTCATCTTGTCCATAACCTGCTCCATTACCGTCACCATTACCACCTGGACCGGATGGATAACCACCATTGTCTCCGTTTGAACCTCCAGAAGGATAACCACCGTTACCACCACCATTTCCACCTGGTCCTCCCGAAGGATATCCACCATTGCCACCGTTTAATCCTCCAGAAGGATATCCACCATTACCACCATTATTTCCATTTCTGCCCGGTGCCCCATAAAGTCCCCCAGGTCTTCCTCCGTTTCTTTCAGGAGTACCATAGCTTCCCGATGGTCGTCCCCCATTTCCACCATTTCCACCATTTCCACCGTTTCCACCGTTCCTTCCTGGTGGTCCATAGAGACCGGACGGACTTCCATTTCCACCATTAAAACCATTTCCATTTTCCGGAGGACCGTAGCTACTCGATGGACCGCCACCGAATCCATTTTTCCCATTGCTTCCACCGGCGAATCCATTTCCTCCACCAGGTGCTCCGTAACTGCTAGACGGTCTTCCCGCTCCATTTCCACCGTGTCCATTCGACGGAGGCCCATAAGAATTGGAAGGTTGACCACCACCGAAACCATTTCCTCTACCATTTCCATTTCTTCCACCGTTTGAGCTAGGTCTTCCATTACCAGAACTATCACCGTTATAACCATTTCCACCAGTAGGTACTCCGTAACTGTTGGATAGACCATTTCGACCGTTATCGCCTCCTCCGATCCCATTCTGCCCATCGAAACCAGGTGGTCCGTATACGTTGGACGGTCCTCCGCCTCCTCCCCCATTACCATTCCCAGGACCACCACCGCTAGGTGGCAGATACGAGTTGACCGGTGGTTCGGAACGTACCAAAGTGAGGGCTAAAACGAATACCGCTAATCCAATCTGCAAACACGAACGAAATTTGAACGGATGGTTCGATCGAAAATTGGTTATCTCACGCGATTAGATGGATAGAAAGAAAAAAAAAAAAGTTGGAATCAAGAAAGAATTTTGAAACTCGGAAGAGATTAAACGGAATTTTTATATCAGGAAACGATTATCCTGGCATTTTCGAAACGCTTAATCGCTTAATCGATATTCTCTTAGATTGCTACGATCTACGATATGATGGATAAAATTTCTCTGATATTTCCGGACAATGTCGAATTTAGAATCAAAAGAATAATTCGCATTGAGCAACATTGACGACGCAGAATAGCATTCCACGATGTACGAAACAATCCTCGCTACGCTCTTCGTTCTACTCTCCTCGATGCTTATATCAGTTGCAACAGATATAATTTCCCTCCTATCTCTCTGGATGCAAGTTTTCTCACCTTATACATGGCGAATGAATCGGTGTGTCTTTCCGTACAACAATAAATCTTGATCACCGACTTTTTCCCTCGTTTATCCTTGAGAAGGTGAGTCTCTGGATCACGCGAGGTGCTTCACCACCGCAAGCCTTTCGGATTCTATCTTTTCTTGCTGTGCACACCTTCCGCCGTTGGATGGTGTCGAGGGAATGATAAAGTTTGGTTCTAATCCGCTTTATATATCCCAGGATTCATCCGTGTTTCTAGATCACGGTTTGGTACAAGCCGTAGGTATAGGATTTACAGCAAGGCACCGATGTAACTGTGTCACACGGTGGTGTTGAATCAGTCGGTGACGGTAGTGATGGTGAGCGAAGAAGAAGAGTGGGACCGTAGCAGCCACCTAGAGCCATGGATTCGTTCCATATTTCACGGGTTACGAATCCTATATCGTAACGCAATGCGGCGGCGCATCATTAACTCGGAGCATCATCGCTCCTCTCATGCTCGATCCTCTCCCGCGTCGGATCGCGAGAGCGGGAACGAACAAGGATGCAGGACTTGGCAAGGATACGAACCTTCTAAGGATGCCAATTCGGACCGCTCGTCTTCGTTAACCGGCTTGATTAATACCTCTCCTCTACTATATTCGAATTGGAAACTTTCACGAAATTGTTCGACGCTTTGCCGATTCTTCCATCCAACAACAACCCGGCGAATGAGACATTAAGCAATGGTTAAGCGAGCGAGTGTACTAATTACGAAGGTAACTATCTAATTAAGAGGCAGAACGCGTTGTTTAACGCGTGGTAAGGAACGATGATTGATCGGACGGTTTTGCTCGCTGATTAATTATCCGGTAAATTCGAATCTTTTTTTCGAAGCGTCCAAGCGCGAAGTTGAGGTATCGAAGTTGGGGTGCAACCGCGTCCTCGCGTATAAATTGCGTTTCGATTATGCAACATGGAACGAAACATCTTCTTAGTATATATCTTCTCATATTACA